GTTTAGAAATTTATCAGCTAATTATCAACGATCTAAAAGGGATTTTGTCTACTTTTGTTGTAGAGAGGTCCAAGTGACTCTTATCATCTATGATGTGTTCTTTCCTTTCTGAGAATCCCTAAGAAACAAGTTGTATATTTTGCTCCTCTGTGATTGTCAAACAGTTCTTTACAGTTTTTTCACTGGTCAGATACAAATTCTTATAGTTCTGGAACTTAGGACCGGGTTGAAGATAGTGGCAAGGTTTTCTAGGAGCAATTTCAAGGAACTGAAACACATAAATATTAATAGAATCGTGAGTTGAATTTTGTACACATATAAACGGTAATAAGAAACTGATTCCGGGCAGCACTGTCTTTGCGCAAGTAGGTAAGAATGATAACCTGAAAGGAGCAAATATGTATTTCTTCATGTTCTCATGAGTGGGAACTAAGCAATGGGTACATATAGACATAGAGTGGAAAAAGAGGCACTGGAGCCTACAAAAGGTGGGAATGTGGGAAGGAGCAAGGGATGAAAATTGCCTCAGGTGATGGGGACACTAAAAGTCTAGACTTCATCACAATCCATAGAAGACATGTGGACTGGTAGTCCCTAAATGCATTATTTTTTACAAGTTAAATAAAAGATAATAGATATTTGCCAGTGACACTGCCCATCACACTGGGAAAGATAACTTGCATTTGTGAAAGAATATATGAAGTATTAAGAATCATAAAAGGCTGGGCATGGTGGCTCACACCTGTAATCCCAGCACTTCAGGAGGCTGAGGAGAGCAGATTGCTTGAGATCAGGAATTCAAGATCAGCCTGGTCAACATCGCGAAACTCTGCCTCGACTAAAAATACAAAAATTAGCTGGCATGGTGGCGCACGCCTGTAATCCCAGCTACTTGGGAGGCGGAGGCAGGAGAATTGCTTGAATCTGGGAGGCGGAGGTTGCCGTGAGCTAAGATCGCACTACTGCAGTCCAGCCTGGGTGACAGAGCCAGACTCTGTCTCAAATAAATAAATAATAAATAAATAAATAAATAAATAAATAATTCAAATGATTCATAAAGACATGATTCTTTGATGTGATTTACAGTATATTCATCTTTCAGTAAATCTAGGCTTAGACTGTGACGGCAATCCAAAATCAGTCTCTATTTTACATTATCCTATAATAAGGCTATGGAAAGTATCCATTCACACTCTTGACACTGATGTGTTTGAGGTAAGAATAAACCACCTTTATTTAAATGGGCTGAAAGGAAAGTAATGTCTCCCAGGGGCCTATCTGGTTTAAGCGTAGTGTGGCAGAGGAGGTTTCGCTCTTGACAAGGCAGAACATCTGGATCTAGATCTTCCACCTTCTGAAGGCATTCAAAGAAGCGCAACTCTTTTTTTTTTTTTGGCATTTTATTTTACTTTATGTTAAACTAATAAATAATTGTGTATATTTATGGGGTAGATTGCAGTGTTTTGATATGAGTATACATTGTAACAAATCAAATCAGGCAATTAACATATCCATTGCTTCACCAGCTTATCCTTTGTTGTTGTTGTTGTTGGGAGAATGTTAAAAACCTATTCTTTAAGCAATTTTATTAACTGTAGTCACCATACAATGCAACAGATCACTAAAATTTATTCCTCCATTATAACTAAGACTTTGTACTCTCTGATCAACATTTTCTATTTCCTTAATTCTCCCCTTTGCAACCACGCCTCTGGAGATCACCTTTCTACTCTCTGCTTATATGAGATTGACGTTTTTAGTTCCACATATAAGTGAAATCATATGGTATTTATCATTCTGTGCCTAGATCATTTAATTTAACATAATGTACACTAGTATTACATTGTCTTGAACGACAGAATTTCCTTCTTTGCAAAGGCTGTATGGTACTTAATTGTGTATATTTACCACATTTCTTTACCCAGTTATTCATCAATAAACATTTAGGTTGCTTCCATATCTCGGCTACTGTGAAGAATGCTGAATTAAAATGGAACTGCAACTTTCCCTTTGACATAGCCATTTGAATTCCTTTTAATGTATACCCAGAAGTGGGATTACTAGATCATATGGTAATACTATTTTTAGTTTTTTGAGGAACCTCCATACTATTTTCCAAGATGTTTGTACTAATTTACATTCCCACCAGCACTCCACAGGATTCTCTTTTCTTCACATCCTCACCCACACTTGTTATCATTCATCTTTTTGTTAATTTCAGAATGAGATATTACCTCACACGTGCTAGAATGGCTATTATAAAAAAAATAGCTTATGTTTGAGGCGGAGTGCTTTATTTCTCTGAGTCCCTTAATATTCTCCCTTGAAATAAGCAAGTCCCATTCCCCAGGATTAGGTTTTCTTATTTTTACCACTTCTTTTCAGGCAGGCCCATGCTTTATATCAAGATTCTGAAGCCAGAGGAAATTCTCATGCCTACATATTACAGAAGCTTTAAAGCATCCAAGCACCAGGGTTTAAGAAGAATGAAACACACCAACAAACAATTCTCATGTTCTTTATATTACATGTGATCTATGGTCTATTCCTATGGTGAATCTCCACATTTTCCCACAAAGCATAGAGTGGATTAGGTCATGCATGATGCTCATTTCTTTAGCAAATATGCTGGGTACCTACTCTACTATATCCTCTCTTCTAAGCACTATTGTATAGCAGTGAATAAACTAGTCCCAGCTTTCATGCAGAATGCATTCTAGTGAAACAAGACAAAATAAATAAGCAATAGATATTTAGCATGCCAGATAAGTGCTAAGAAGAAATACAAAGCAGTTGCTAACTACAATAGGATTCAGATTGTGAATGTGGGAATCGATAGCTGAGATGGTGTGGAGAAAAAGATAATCTATTAGGGATGAAACCAGAAGTTAGGTTGTTGGATGCTTCATCCAAATAGCTGTTGGTATTCAAACAGATGAGAAAGTTTCTAAGAAGGAAAGCAAGAGTTTGAATGGAGTAAAAGAGTGTCCACCACAAAATAAATTCTTAATAAATAAGAATGTCCATAAAGGCAGAACCTGATGGCTACCAGACGAGGAAAATATGATACAACTGGAGAATATCTCTTCAAAAAAGGAGTTTTTGGGTTTGTGTGTATGTGTGTTTTGGGACAGTTGTTTGCTTGTCTTTTTTTTTTTTTTTTTAATCAGGATTTCATCAACTCTGGATGTAGAGATGTGGTTTGAGAATTAAAACATCAGGTCCATCCACACTTCTGACACTGACATCTCTTAGGTTACAGTAAACAGCTCCCATTTAAACAGACTGAAAGGAAGCTAATGCCTACAGTGGCATATCTGGTTCAAGTGCAAGTTTTTCTCCCGGGACCTGGGAGAGTATGTGGGTCTATAGCACCCGTCTGCTGACTACATAGTTAGAAAGCAGAGGTTAGAAATATGCTTATAAAATTCTTAAGGCAGAAATGTGGAAAACAGACCCCTCCACTACATAGTTCCTCCTGCTGAGAAGTTCAGTGGGGGAGGAAGGATCCTCAGCTCATCATTGGGAACGCAATTGCCAAACCTTTTCAGATCCAACCTGGTAGTATTACGTAACCAAAACAAACAAGAAAATGGCTAGCCTACTCAGAATCTAAAATCAGCACTCTTGGTTTTCCATCTATTTGTCTCTTGTTTATATGATTGGTTTGTACAGTATCTTGGGATCAACTTCCTGTTCATTACACATTATAAAAAACAGTACTCTTTTTATTTATTTAAAATATAATATTTAAACTTTAAAATATATGATATTATTAAGTTTATTAAATTTATATTGTGTTTAAATGTACTCAAAGGTGTGTAGAATTTTACTGGGTGAAAAGGGATACCTGTGTCAGACTGCTCTAAAGAAAAGTTTTATGCACTAGAAAATTTATTTGCATCATCACCAGAGTGTGGAGAAGAGAAGCTTGCAATCAGTAAATAGTCCATTAAAAAGAAATCAAGTGGATGTTTGGTGCTACAAAATCATTATTGTTAATTTTTACACGTGACCAGGGTGTTGAATTAAAATCAAATGTAGATGATGGGGAGATGGATGCAGCAAACCACCGTGGCAGGTATATAACTATGTAAAAAAACCTGCACGTTCTGCACATGCCCCACAGAACTTAAAGTATAAGAAAAAAATTAAACAAACAAAAAAGTTCTTAGCATTCAGAGACATATGCTGATATGTTTTTGAAGTGATGAGATATGTACACAAAATAGGGTTACAAAATGAAGATTCTATGCTGTGGCCTTTGGGAAGAAGTCTGACACCTCTTGCCTTCACTCCCAAACTACACTGTGTCGCCGCGGTTTTCTAAAATAGACATAAATTTCCCTCTGTCCCTCGTGTTTCAAATCACTAGAGTGGGAAAGTGATCCAGAGTAAAAAGGTTCATAGCCGCTCTAGTGGACTCTTGATTCTTTCCTAAAAGTAACCACACAGCTGCTCACACAACAACAACATTACAAACCCTTAACTACAGCAATGTCCAGATTTGGATGCTGCAGGCTGACAATTCCCCCCTGCAAGTTCTGCTGGGGCACCTAGGCAAGGGGAGAGAGAATACAGCTGGAGGTTAAAGAACCGGAGTTTGCTGCCTTCCTCTCCTCTCCCTCATTTTCACTCTCCCCTCCCCCCCCCAATTTATCTGCACCACGCTCTTCCTTTTCCTCTCCTCCCCGGCTGCTCCCTAGCCCCTTCGTTCCTCCAGCCCTCCAGGCCCTCTCGCCTCTTCCCCTCCTCACCAACCCCTGCTCCTCTTCCTCCCTCCCTTCCTCGGCAGCTGCTGCTGCTAACTGCCTCTGCAGCAGGTCTCTGTCAATATCACCCGCCCACGCCCGATCTGGATGCTGAAGTCGCGCACTGGCCTGGAGATGAGGGCGGGGGAGAGAGTGGAGTGGCTGGGAGAGGGGAGGGAGGCGTGGAAAGGAGACAAAAACAGCTTCCAAGCAGCGGGCGCGGCTCCACTGGACATCTGGGCAGGAGGGGTCTCTGGGTCAGTGGCTGGAGAGCCGCCCCAGTGAGTCGGTGTCTAACTGCCAATTCAGTGGGGCCCATTTACTGCAGAGCCACAGCTGATGAGGGTAGACGCCAGCTTAACAACACCTTCTTTACAACTAGAGCTCAGAAAACCCGAGAGATCCGTGGAGAAAGAGAAGCCCAGGAGGAGGAAAGGGCCCCAAGGAGCCGTGCTCCTGAGGGTTCCCTTAGGTGCTGGTGGAGACGTGCCACTTCGTAGCAAGTAAGTGCCTTTCTCTTGCTGTTGGGTCCAGTCCCAGAATGGTGATAGTCACTGTCTGCCGCCAGCCTATCCCACCCACTCCTACCTGCCCCACCCCATACACACCCTTAGGGTCCCCAGCAGGAGGATGGAAATTTAAAATTTTGAACGTGCATTAACAGAGTTACTTCAAGAGTATTCTTAAACAGCAGCCGTGGTCTGTGGGCGTTTGCATGTGCGATCTGTTTTCTGATTCCATCAGGTAAGCTTCTGAAACCAACATTCTCTGTTAGTGTAAAGTTCTAGTAACCCTATATGACAGTGACTTATATTACACGATATCATGACAGTATAAAATGGAGGAGAGGTTATGCAGACTGGTGTACACCTCTAGGAATCCTATCTCTTATTCTAAATAACAGAGATTTCAAGATTGATTTTCACAGAAGAATAGTCAGTATAAAAGTAGAGAAATTGATGTGATTGGCAATGGTGTGCTCAGTTTAGTCAGCTGGGCATTTTGGTATTGACTAGATCAACAGAGTTTTTGTTGTTGTTGCATTATTTAGTTCTGTAAAACGCCTACCTTCTGGAGGTTTGCTTTTAGAAGTGATAATGTGACTGATTGTATTACCTTCAAAACTTAGGACACTGGTCAAAACAAGACAAATGATGAACCCATGTGGAATGACACATCAATGGGCCCCTTTCATTAATGAAAATGATGAGTTCCAGTTTGGATATTTGACTGAAAAATATCTTGAAATGGGAAAGAGTTTAGATGGTGTTTCTTGAGGATACTTTCCCCCATGATCTTCATTCAGGAGAGCAGTTTATGGCAAAGCAGAAGGAAACTGGGTCCTGTAATGAACACAATCCTGGGTGCCATACCTGCTATGACTAGTCTTAATTAAAGATGCTGTAATCCAGCTGCTGTTTTACAAGTAAGACCTATAATGAATAATTTGCTGAGGCTACCTGCCAAATCAGTGATTGAGCGGGAAGTCCAGTGAATAAATCTCTGGGATTTAGAGCCATAAAACTTTATTTCAATTTTTGTACAAATTAAGCCTGTTATTTAACTTGAGTAAGCTTTATCTTCTTTATTTATAAATGACACTCCAAAAATTCCTGATAAAAACTAATGGACAGAAATGATATTAAGAGTTTGTGGAAATAATATGTGTAACTGTTGATTACATAAGGAATTATTCTGTGTTTTTATCTACTTCACTATTCTGGTTTTCCTTCTCAGTCTGGTTGAATATAAACATACGGAGGGCTTTGATATGCTTCTCTAGAATGCACTAGAGGAAGTGAAATTCAAATCCATTTCTTGCCATCTTTGCAGTTTAAAGCATATTCTAATCGGAAAGCCTCCATCCTCAAAATAGTGAGAAGTGTGTGCTTTGGCTAGCTATGAATATTTAAACACCTTGTCATATTCTTCAAATACGCTTTACCTGCTTTCTGTTTTTAGTTTTAAATTTCATTTTGGATGTGTAGTCCTGTTTCTTAGGGATGAAGCCATCACATATATTGGATATTGCCAAATGTATTTGGTCCATTACTTAACATAGAAGAAATCAAAGTTTAGGCATAAATACTTTACTCTTGACTGCAGAGATTCATTAAAATCTTACACCTGGGGGTTAGGTACTGTAAGTCCCTTCTTTCTCATGGATATGTTTAAAGTAATAGAAGAAAGACCTCAATCTGAACATGGGCTCGGGAAAGGGGTCACCAGATCCCAGATGGCACATGACCCTTGGTCCTTCTGCTGCATATCAGTCTCCATTGGAGAACTGAAGCCAGAGTCAAGCACTTCAAAAATGGGCATTATGTCTCCATAGCCTCCTGGTAGACGGTGTGGTAGGGGATATACACTCTCACTGGTTTTCCGAGAGTGGGATAAATACCTGCTCAAAGCATACTAGAAATAAAAATAACAGTATTTTCCTCAATCCCTTTCTCAGGGAAGAAGAATCTGAATACACTCCAGCCCTAGATCTCATTGGTCTGAGATATGCATCACAACTGGGTTATTCGGAGATTGACTCACCATCTATCACCTTAGGCTTTCTCCTGAAAGCTTATGGTGGAGACCTTGGAGTAAAAGGGACATTCTTGATTTCTGGGAGTCTGATCCAATTACTTCCACTAACCATTACCAGTATTTGTCAGCGTAAGAAGAACAACTACAACCTCTGCCCACCCCCACCCCCACCCCAGCTATCAGCAATGCACCCATTATCACATGAGAAAATCTTGTACAACAGATCTCTTTTCTTCTCCCGCATTGGTTCCTTCTCTTCTATTGGTGAGGACTGACCAACCAGACAATTGAGGTCTCATTGCAGCAACACTGAAAGAGGGAACCTTTGAGGTTAAAGATAAGATTTCATCTGAAGGCTTCAGGGGATGTTTTTCAGTTGGTGCCTATCTCTTGACCCAGCTAAGATTATGATTTACATACATTTGTTCATTTACTGCTTATTCTAAATGAGGCTCCATCTTCTCATATTTCATCCTGGAATCCCTAGCAAACAGGTATCCCTGTTGTCTCTGCAGTAATTATAATTGGATTGATTCAGCCTGGTGTTGGCTAAGGATAACTAGCTCAGTGGGTGGTTCTGATGGTAGTTTGAGTCAGGTGCCACAGTGCATAGGCATCAATGAGCTTGATGAAAATGCAGAAGCTGGGGGGCCCCACTCATGGAGATTTTGATTAGAAAGGCCTGATATTATGACAGAACGTTTTGTTTTAAACTAGAATGGAGGTGATGCTGATTTGGGCACCATAGACCCTGGGTGAATATATTGTGTTGAGTAGAAAAGTCTGCCTTTTCTACTTTAAATGCTAGGGTGAGGCTTTCAGTCCACCAGCTGCTCACTCTGAGTTCTCCCAGAGGCAGCATGGTCTAAGCACTTGATTACAGGCTCTTTCCCATATCTACTCTCTCTCTGGCTCCGGGCCTCTGTGTTGGACATTGTTGCCCAACTCAGAGTGAGACAAAAACGAAATCATGCTCACCTAATATGCTTCAAGGCACTTCTCTAGTTTCTCTCCAATTTGAGAAGGAGATGGATACCTTTATGTTTGGTTCCACATTTGAAAAGCTAAAGGAGCTTTGGGGAGGATTTTGGGGAGCGTGGGTTGGCACCCTGGAAAAACAGACATTTTCAGAGTTATCAGAAGCAGAGATAAATAGCTAGTTCTAAGAAGCTTCCAGGGTTTCAGTAAATGTGACAGTTCTAGATTTTTTTTTTTTAAATTCAGAGAAATGCCTGGTTCAAAAATTTTTAAGAATTCTAATCCAAACAAAATGGCAATGCAAGTGACAGAGTTTCCTTTTTTAAAAGTCTGAATAGCATTTTGTTGTGCGTATATACCACATTTTCTTTATTCATATGTGATAGATACTTAGGTTTCTTCCATATCTTGGCTATTGTAAATAATACTGCAGCAAATATGAGAGAGCAGATACCTCTTTGACAAACTAATTTCAATTCTTTTGGATACACATCATTTGTGACAACATGAATAAACCTGGAGGATATTATGCCAAGTGAAATATTCCAGGCATTGAAAGACAAAAACTGCATGATCTCTTATATATGTGAAATCTAAGAAAGAGAAATTCTTAGAGGTAGAGAGCAGAATGGTGCTCTCAGGTGGCTGGGGAAAACTCAGCCCTTTGGGAGGCTGAGGCAGGCGGATCACTTGAGGTCAGGCATTTGAGACCAGCCTGGCCAACCAACATGGTAAAACCCCGTCTCTACTAAAAATACAAAAATTAGTCGGGCGTGGTGGTACAGGCCTTTAAACCTAGCTACTCGAAAGGCTGAGGCAGGAGAATAGCTGGAACCAGGGAGATGGAGGTGGTAGCAGTGAGCCTAGATTACACCACTGCACTCCAGCCTGGGTGACAGAGTGAGACTCCATCTCGAAAACATGATATAAGAGTGAATGAGGAAAGGAAAAGTTGTTGGTCAAAGTGTGCAAAGTTTCAGTTAGAGAGGAGGCATAAGCATAAGTGATCTATTGCACATCATGGTGGTGATAGTTAAATAATAATGTATTGTATATTTCAAAATGCTAAAAGAATAGATTTTAAATGTTCCACTACAAAGAAATATGTTTGTGAGATAATGGATATGTTAATTAGCTTGATTTAATCATTCCACAATGTGTATGTATACGTATATATTATATATATAAACAACATCACCTTGTATCCCCTAAATATATATAATTACTATTTATCAATTAAAGATAAAATACTTTTTAAAATAGCAGTGCATATTTATGCTTTTGAGAAAGTTGCTTATTTACCATTTTCTTTTGCAAGATAACATATTCTAGGAGTGTGTTGGCTGAAATTATCAGAGTGAGAAAGTTGAGTCCAGAATTAAGTGTACATATTGAAGAATAAAACCTGAGCCAAAATGGACTGACCTGGGAGGAAAACATAGCTGCAGTCAGAATCCAAGGGGAAAGTAGCAAAAGTCAATGAAGTCAGCCCAGATAAACTGTTTGCCACAGACAAGTAAAAAAGTAGGCATCAGATAGTCAAAGCCAAATTGGAAATAACCAACCCAAGTGAAAAAAAAAATCCAAAAGCAAAATTCAAGTGGGTTGAAGTCAAGAGGTATTTAAAGAATGTTCATTCACACAAATGGCTGCAAAATTTCAAGTGGATTGATATCATTTCAGTCAAGCTGTCCTTTATTCCTCAAACTTCAGCATGCATGCAAAATTTCCATTTCTGGGCTTTAGTAATACATATACATGGTGAGTTATATTCAAGTAGTATAGAAATATTAACTGGAAATCAACAGAATCCTCTGATACCTTTTTGGACTCTTTCCATAAATGCAACACTTTACTCACTTCCAGAGGGGAAAATAGTATGATCATGCTAATGTATAAACTTTTTGTATACAATCATTATAAAACATTTTATTCAAAGGCCAGTGATACAAGTTGTTCTCAACTTTACATTTTCACTTAGTAATTG